TCTCTGAAAAGTAGGGGCAAAATGCTTTGAGCAGACAAAGAAACAAGAAATCTACTGACACAAGCTGGGGAGAAGCAACATAGCATCATACAGTCCCCTATGAAATTCCTGTCCATACTCAAACTGGAGTGCCCAGTCCCAGGAAAGAGAGGGATGTTTCCTCTTCAACTGTCCAAGAGAGCAGCTTTTGTTTCTCAAAAGTTCAATGCTAACCACCCCTTCATCTGCTTGAACAGCCCTCAATTTAGTTTCTCTGGAATGTGAGAAAAGTAATCCAGGAACCAACAGTTACAAATACAGTTCAGAGTGCAGTTACGCATAATGAAATAAATTGTTTTTTTTTTTAAAAAAAAAAAATTGGTTTAAAGTCATGTAGTAGCCACGTAGTTTTTGGGTTGGTGTGTATGTCCTCTTGGGAAAACTTTTAATATATAATGAAATAAATTGTTTTTTTTTTTTAATTTGGTTTAAAGTCATGTAGTAGCCCCGTAGTTTTTGGATTGGTGTGTACGTCCTCTTGGGAAAACCTTTAATCAATTTTTAAATTGTATTGTATATCATACAAGGAGCTACATGGGCTTTTAGAATCATCGCATTTGAGGCTTTGTCCTGCACCCACAAACCTTCAGGGAGCCAGGGCTCAAAATGATGAGTCCATTTTGTCTAGATGGACTAGGTTTGCGAAGGACATACTGTACATACACATGAGACATTTTGATTTCACTACATTTTTTTGGCTTGCAAAGGAGGGGTGTGTATGCACACATACATATACACATGAGCTGGAAATGGAGAGAGAGCATGGAAGGCACTTCAGTAAGTGGCAAACCCCAAGACACAATTTACACTGACAGAGGCATTCACATATGCCACTAAAAGATTCAAAATATATCAATTTCACAAGCAATTTAAAACAAACAACTGTCTGCAGCCAACTAAAAGACTTCACTTTTCAAACAAAAACACACACGTCCCAGGCAAAAAATCTGCACTTCCATGTGCATCATGTAAAGCAGGATTTTGACCAAAAGGTATAGGAAGCCAAGAAATTTTAAACGAGATGTCATTTTGGGTGGTATCTACTGAGATTAATCAAGCTTTCATAACTCAATGAAAACAGTAGCCAGGCAATTCTATTGCATCAGTGCTATGAGCAAGCCATCAATCAGCCATCCTTCATCCACCTGAGCAAGAAACAAATCTCACACATTTTTAGAAGCACAGCATATGTTGCTATGCAGCACCCAAACACTCCAGCACTGGTAACGTAAGAGTGTGCTTGCACTATACACTATGCAAGGTACAAGTACAGAACAGTCTACTGTGGACTATACACTATGCAACATAACTCAAGGTACAAGTACAGAACAGTCTACTGTGTGAGGGCTCAATTAAAGAAAAGAAAGCTATCATAGCTACTTTCTTGACATCATGCCCTGAAAATATAACAGCAGAGTTGGAAGATAAAGGATCTGACCTACCAGACCCTATAATGGAAATCCCTAATGTTCTCACTCCTGCAGTCTAGTGAGAAAATATTTTGGCTTCTAAAGCCTAGGTGCAGATCCTTGCAGTTTCTTCTGAAGCATGCGAACTGGCTCACTTGCTCAGTCATTTGGAACAATGTGCTCTGCAGTAATCTTTCTGCAATGCACGTATATATGAGTGCATTCATTGTCTGCACTGTTTCAGTGCTTTTAAAATTTTATGCTGCTGTTGATTTACATTTGTTCTGTATACTGAGATGTTTATTGGTTTGCTGTCAGTTTTATAGTCTGCCTCTTTATTGTTTCACTGTATTACTGTTGTAGGTTGGAATGTTGTATATGCTGAAGTGTATGCTGCTTAGCACTTCTTCACTACCTAGTATACTGGGATGGGGAACATGTGTCCATAAAGATGTTGCTGGATTGCACCTCCCATCAGCCTTGACCAGCAATAAGTCTTTATGGCAGTTGTAGTGTACCAACTTCTGGAGGGCCACCTATTCCCCTGACCTGCGTTAGTCTCCTGATTGAGGGTATTAATTGCTCGGTGTTGCACTCATTATGCTCCCGGACTTGCTCCAGTTTCTCCCCCCTCAGTTTTATTGTTGTTATGACTATAGTTCAGGTCCCCTGTCACCTGTTCAATAGAATACTTTCCCTTTATACATACCCATTCACTAGTTACAGTCTGTGCAGATGTGTGTATTGGATGTAATGCCACAGTATCTTTTGATTTTAAAGAAAAATTTACAGTTTATTTATTATGTCGCTAAAAAACAATTCACTAATAATAGTTTAGGATTCATATTCCTTGTAATCAAACCATGTCTGCCCATAATTCTCATGAAGAAAACATCTTTTTAAAATCTGTATTACCCATACCACAGGCCAAATTATTAATCCAATCTTTTCTTATTAGTAACATAATCTATACATTAGTTCTGAGCTTAGTCTGAGTTCTTTTTTTCATCCCAATAACATCCCAACAGATTAAAAATGCAATCCTATGTGTATCTGCACAGAAGTAAATCCCATTAATGTCAGTGAGGCTTACTCCCAGGAACCTTCATACAGGATTGCAGCCTGAATTGCTTAAATCCATATAACAGATCTGAGAAGCTGTGTGCCAAAAATCACAATCTAAGATATGGTTAAAGAACAAACAATAATTAATAATAATTGGGTGCCGTCAAATTGATTCTGACTTATGGCGACCCTTTCCAGAGTTTTGTAGGCAATGAATGCTCAGAGATAGTTTACCATTCCCTTCTTTTGGTGGGGGGGGGGTGCCCTGGGACTGTGTGATTTGCTCACAGGACACACACTGGTGAATTGAACTCCCAACCTCTGGTCCTGAAGCCAGATACTTAAGCTATCCAGTCACTAAACCACAATTTAAATGACAATACTTCTGTTGTGGCTAGCACTGAAAAAGAGCAGGAAACTAAAGACAAGGAAAAGAAACCCTCTAGCCATGTCCCATGGATAAACCAGAGCTCCAAAGGAGGGAACCTCCTATTGTGCTTAGGGATGGTTCCACTCCCCAGATGTGATCTGTTTTTTGGAGGTGTTTTTTGTGCAGCTGGCAAGCTGAATCATCTATTAATAATAATTACATGCTCTCAATTCTGATTTACAGTGACCCTTCTCAGGGTTTCCTAGATAATATACTCAGGAGAGATTTACCATTGCATTCTTCTGGGGCCATTCTGGGACTATGCTACTTGCCCAAGATTACACAGGCTGGTTCACCCTGGAGGCACAGTGGGGAATTGAACTCCCACCTTTTGTCTCCACAGCAAGATGCCTGCCTGTCAAAGCTAGCTGGATCATTTATTAGGGTCATACTGTGCAATAAACTGCCTAATAGATCAGTTCAGATAATCCATTAGGCAGTTATTGTACATTACATGACTTTTTATGCTGCCACTACAGTCAACCCATGTGAAGAAACCTGCATCCAATGTAGTGGAGTGTAGTCCATGAAAACAAATGCTAAATAAAACCTGCTTGCATTTAAAATGCCACAAGACTATTTGCTTGTTTTGCTACTCCGTAAGGTTTGAAAACAAAGGCCTTGAACCTCATGACAGAGAGGGCACCAAATCTGTAGGTGCTAAACTTATATAAAAGTTGATATATTGTTACTGTGCAGTAATTATATCTTGGTGGAAACTGAAGCTGGACAGCTCATACACAAAATCTATAGCACAATTTATCCTTCAAAAGCGTGTTCTTCTGTTGAGGGCACAGTAAATAATGAGCAGTCTGGATGAGACATCTTTCTCTTAAAAGAAAGAAGGTGGGTGGGTGGGAGGATTAACTAGGAACCTGATCTACTCCGTGGTGTTGCTATATTCTACAATTTATCAGAGAGTAGTCTGCACCTTCAAATCAAAGTTGACACCAACTTGAGACAAAGTATCGTGGAAGCAATGACATTACAAAATAAGCATATTGTTCCTTCTCTCTAAAGAACTGTAAAAAGCTGAAGTTTTCAGATTTCAACATAGATCAGGTGTGAAAGATCACTTAGCTTATGTTGCACCCTCTATTTCTCTTGTAAACTGTACAGATCAGGTTCATCATCACAAAAGAGAGCTCAGCCAGTGCCCAAATCCAAATCAGTTGGTCGCATTGCAATTACTGGTGCCTCTGAGTACAGCACCGCTAGGATTAGCATTATTACTAGCGATCTTGGCATCTGGAGCAAAGCGCTCTGTCTCCCAGCCACTATACCCTGCATGAGCAAAAGCCCCCCATGAAAAAAGAAAGAGAATGCAGAACCCCCTCAAAACAGAGCAAAACTTTAACACTTTCAAAAAAGGGTAAGTGGATGCAGACAGGCAGTGTTGCTGCTTATTTTGCTACCTCCCTCACCAGTAGATTCACCTCTATATTTCAGTGCCCTCTAGAATTTGGTGGCCGGGGTAAAGCCCCAGTTGCCTCAGAAGTATGGTCACAGCCCAGTCGGTAAACTGGGATAAGAAAGCGCTGATGGTTGACCTCCATTCGGGTTCCCCCTTCTTAAAACCCAATAATTACACAGGTGTTTCTCTCTTCTTCACCCCCCCTTCCCCATCTTCGTCAAAGGTTGGAGCTACTGCTTTGTGAAGTAAACCTTTGTCCTTAAAACCAAGATGAGCTGTTTCCCCAACACCACACTCCTGGACCCCTCCAGGGCGCCTGCCCCTCACTGTAGCCCGGCCGTCCCCACCAGGCTGCTTCTCTGCCTCCTGTTTTCAAGGACAAAAGGGATTTCAGGCGAGGGGCTTGCGGGCTGGCGAGACGAGCAGGAGGCCAAACTTGGCGTTTAATTCTTCCGACGTACGTCAGGCGCGCAGAGGGAGGAAAGGAGGCTGCCCGTGAAGGTCACGGGGCGGCGGGTGGCGCGGCTTTTGCAGAGGAAAAGGGGAGCACGGTGGAAGGGGGGGGGAGCCGCGCGCGCGGAAGGGAGCTCGCGATCAGTGCTGCTAACCCCTTTGCCGTCTCTCTCCGCGCGCCGGGACTCACCGCAAAAAAAAGAGGAAGAGCCGAAAGAGAGCCGGGGATGGGGACCTCCAGAAAGCGCGTCTTCCCTCGTGAGAGACCCCCGAGGAAGCTCGAGGAAAGGGGTCGTCCAGAGCAGGCAAGCCCGCCGGAGGAGGCGACGCGGAGTCCCCCTCAGTCGCGCGACGCGCACAACAGGCGAGCCTTCACACAAGCTGACCGGACCTGTGGGCACTTGGCGCCGGCGAAACCTGAGGCACGAAGTCCTCGAGTGGCTCCTCTGTAGCACTGCAGCGAAAACCGAAGGTTGTGTCTCTCTCTCCCCTCCCTCTTCCACACACACACAGAGAGTGTAGACACGCTCAAGCTGCGTGGTACGACTTCCTCCTCCTCCTCCTCCTCCTCTGCCCTCCCTCCCGCTTTCATATGCTGGCAATTATTTGCCTTGTAGAGCTATTAGGGGAGGGAGAGGAGCTGGGGAGTGTGGGGAGGGGGGGGAGAGCCGAGTGGAGCCCTCGGCATCAGGAGTCTTCATCAGCCCTTGCCAGCAGCCAATCAGGTGGTGGGTGCTTGAGCGGTGCCAGCGCGACAGGCAACCGAAGAGCCCCGCCAACACAGAGCCTGGGCAGCAGCAAAGCCACGCGCGCCGCCGCCGCCGGCCTTTGCCCAGACCAGCACGCGCCCAGGGCAATCTGCTGTCTCTTGGGCGGGCGGGCTTTTCATGTCCCCTGCGGGCAACCTGAAGTGTCCACACGCACCGGCGGTGCCTGCGAGAGGGAACGACGTTTGGAAGCCGATCTAGCCCCGCATTAGGTCCTCATCGTGCGTTTATTTATTTGGTTATCCTCGCCCTTCCTGCTTCCGTTCTCCACCATCTCTGCAGTCACGATATTTATGGCTCTTCCAACATCGTCTGAAACTTTACTTTTCTCAGTGGTGACCTTCCTCCTAATTTAAATTGTAAGAGTGTTCAGGAAGAGGCCATTTATTCTACTGGATGAAAAAACGTGCATTGATCCTATTAATTAACCACATGGATAATAGACACACTTGCTACACCATCCTGGCCTTCTAAAGGAGAACCAGATTTCTGCAAAGGACTTCAGAGTTCTGCAATCAACCACATCTCTCCTACAATGAGAATACATGTTTGTGTCTCTCCGCACTAATACAAATAGATGTATTCAGGCATTGCCAATTTAATCCATTTCAGATATACAGTATTTTGAACTTTTATTCAATGCATTATGAGGAGAAGGATGAGAATTTGGATGGCATGTTTGTATGAGAAAAAAGCAGAATTAGTTTGCACAATATGGAAGGATCAGGAAGATGCAAATATTCTCCTTCTATATTACAGGTGGACCATACTGACTTCTCCTTTTATTGTATATCATTTCTTACACATTTTAATTTTTCTCTCTACAACTATGACATATCTTCCAAAACTTGTGAAGGATGAGACAGACTCCATGATTTCCTTCCACAATATAGTAGTAATACATCTCTACCTTTGCTTCTTTTATTAAACTCTGCTTTAAAAATAAAAAAACTGACAGAAATAGCTGGGACTTTAAAAGAGATACTATTCAACACACAAAGTCTATTATGGAAGGTGGCAAGTCCTAAAATGGTGGCTCATCAGCTTTGACAATGAATTTGCAATCATTACTTGTATTTGTAAATTACATGATTTGCAATCATGTAATTTACAAATATATCAGTAAGCAGCTAAAATTATTTCTTATACAAAAGTGATCAAAATATGTTTGTGCACATGTGCCCATGTGCATTTCAAATAAACACAGAAAAGACATGAAAGGGAACAAATATGTATACTTGAAGAATGCAACTTCATTCACATGACATTTTCATATATATAAGAATTAGACACAAACAAAACAAAAGCTAAATTTCGTAATGGTAAGGTAAAAGGAAAAGGTTCCCCTTGATAATTTTTTGTCCAGTCGTGTTCGACTCTAGGGGGCGGAGCTCATCACCGTTTTCAAGCCATAGAGCCAGCATTTGTCCGAAGACCAATCTTCCGTGGTCACATGGCCAGTGCGACTTAGACACGGAATGCCGTTACCTTCCCACCGAGGTGGTCCCTATTTATCTACTTGCATTTCCATGCTTTCGAACCGCTAGGTTGGCGGGAGCTGGGACAAGCGACAGGGGCTCACTCCGTCGCGTGGATTCGATCTTACAACTGCTGGTGTTCTGACCCTGCAGCACAGGCTTCTGTGGTTTAGCCCACAGGTAGTTAAGTACTAAATTTTTCCTAAAACTGAAATGTGTGAAGGGAAACAACTTAAATTTTGTTTTGTTTGTGGTTTTGCTGCTTCTGTGCTGCACTGCTGTCTTCAATTATGAACTGTCCTCATAGTTTTCCCTGCCAGCTCTTAAAATGCCTCAGTTTTCAACTTGTCTAGTAATGGCATCAAGCAAGCTTTTTAGTCCACTATTTCATCAGGTGTGGGGATGGATTGGTTTACTCCTTTTTCCAGTGATTATGGGATCTAATTGCTGGAGTGAACCAAACTGTCCCCATAACACATTTCTGATACCCTGTCAGGGGCTTCTACTTCTACTTTTTTGGTGCAGGTAGGATCACTCTCATTTGGTCTGTTTCCAGCATATGTGTTTGCTGGGAACATACCAAAAGTGAGTCTTGCAGCTGATGAAGCTGTCCAGACTCCTTCAACTTGCAATTCCACATGGCAATTGCAAAGTAAAGGGGGAGGGAATCCTTTTGCCAAAGAGCACTACCGATAGAGTGGATCAAACAGGATTGCTTGAGCTCCAAGCTGCAATATACCATTTGGATATGGGGATCACACAAAATGGCATATCACACTTCTAACCAATGAGCAAGAGACCCTATTTAGCCAGCCTGCCCCAAAAACAAAGCCCGCTCCAAAAAAGACAGTGTAGGTACCACATTCAAGTGTTTCTAGGTGTAGAAGCATTGGATGTACAGTACTAGAAAAGTGCTTTTGAATACTATTTTCAGAAGGAGATGAGTAAGTGCTCAATCTTCATTTTTTTCAGATAATCAGGGTATTACAATGTGTCATCTCAAAGTCTCAAATATCTTTTCATACATGCATGTACACATTCTAGAGGGGCAGCAAAAGCAGCAAAAATCTTGTAGCATCTGAGATTTCTTTAAATCTGTTGTGGCGTAAGCTTACCTGGAGTAAAGCAGATGTACAATAAAACATGTTAATCTTTAAATCCAACAGTACTTTAAACAGTATGTATCTTCTCTCTCACATCAAGAGAGAAGAAAAGTATGTTTATAACCCACAATCATTTTTGTTGTTTGGAGAAAAAACACTGGTGCCGCATATACCTATTATTCTATATTTAGCAATGACTGAAAATTACTTGGTGAGTAGATTACAAAAGACGTGCAATGTGTTTGTGGAACCAATTAAGCCAGCTGGCCTCAAGGGCTGAGCTCCTTATCCTGCATTTCTTCTCTTATCCAGTCTCTGCTGTTACTGCTCACAAAGCCAGAACATCAAAGTTAAAGGGGGGGGGGGAGAAAGCAAGCAATGGGAGCACTTGAAGTGGCAAAAACAACTCCACTTGGAACATTTCATACAACTACAGAGTGAGACAAGCAAAGAGGACATACAGGATTATTAAAACATATTGCCAATGATAAAGTGCAAATTAAGGGGAAAAAAAACACCACACTTTGATCTCACATAAAACAGGAACAGCATCTCTCAAACTCAACCTGGGAAAGTTAGAAATTGTGAGATTGGTAGGATAAATATTGAGTCAGAACTAACATTTGAAACATCAGCCTTTGAGGTTATTCTGTAGGCATAGAAAAGTTATAGGAAAAGAATGGTTCAAGAAACCTGTCAGTTCTGCCAGCTGCCCTAACCTTCCCAAACACTGGAATCCCTGCTTCAGAAATTACCCAACTGCAATTTTTTGGGGGGGGGGTCATCACTGGTATCACTAGAAGCTTTCTAAAAGCTTCATTGCAGTGATGATGAGGTTATATCAGAGTATGCACATGCGCATGAATGAGGCGTGGGAAATCAAATCAGAAGACTACATACCCACATGTTTGCACTAGGGTGATCTTGCTTCCTTTAGTATAGTCCCTTGAGGGGCAGGGAAAGTTTCTTTTTGGACTAGGACTGCGGGACATGCCTCCCCAGCTTGTGTGAGCATGGTAGTGTGTGTGTCTGGGTTTCTTGTTTGAAAAGTTAACTCCTGGCATGCACCTTCTAATGTGCATGTCGAATCAATATGATCTCTGGTATTTTGCTATATCCTTAAGATGTCTAAGAAGGATCCTTCATGAAACAAACAGAAGCTAGCACAGTACTCCAGAGAGGGTCTAGAGAGCAGTGATTACTTCTCCTAATTTGGAAACTGTAGTTTAATAAATACAGCCTAAAACTGCATTATTGCAAAATGTGGAAGAGCCTCTAAAAGTGGAGAAGGGGAGGGGTTCATACTGACACATGAGGAAATATTTTGACTGTATTTTTTACACTGAACCATAAAACTGGCAATTTAGGTATGATTACCCTCAGAATGTTCATTAATTAGATCATGGATCACTGCCTTTACAAGTGTTTATGTGTTTGAGAGTGACCTCTAGTGGATTCATCACCTCTGAAAAGAATGATCAAAATGATAAATACCCCCCCCAAGCTGTGAGATGATGACATTGAAGAACTATTTACCACTGATGTAGTTTTTTTGTTTGTTTATGGAGTTCAGCATTATAAATAAAGATGACTTCTGAAAGAAAATTTTAAGAGCAAGCTACACACAGTAACTCAAAGAGCATGCAATAATAATCTGGGACCACATATACTGGACATTCCTCAAACATTACAGCTTTGAAAGTGATAATAGCAGACACACCGGAAGGTGCTCTTAGTCAGGAGGCAGTCCTTTGCGGAGTAACCAGTTTGTTGTGTGTACGATAACATATTGATGTTTCTGTTAAAATAATATGCATACTGATTAACATGTTTTACAGGGGAAATGGTATGCATATTATTTTAAGGTTGGGAGACCCATACAGAGTTTATTATTTTAAGTCTGGAAAGCTCAAACAGAATAAAAAGTTAATTTTTTGGACTGAATCCTCAGTGGTATCCCAACTATATGTTGTGGGTTGTAGTGCAGAAAAGTAACTGTTCAAAGTTCTGGGCCCATTTTCTTCAGTATTTTAATTTATCTATTGATTTAATAATCTTAACAGCACATTCTGGCTTACATGCCATTTAAAGCTCCTTGGTTTTTCTACACTTGAAAGCCTGTGTGCAGCAAGCCATTAGGAATGAAAGAGGTCACATAATTTTTTGCCA